GGATTCTTTTCTAACATTTAACAAGATAGGCTAGAATCACAGATTCCTTTCAATGAGATGAAAGGTGGTAGTTTAAAAGCTACAATTTAAGCAAAATGTTGCTGACAGTAGCTAAACAAACCTGCATAGAAGATGATGTCACCAATCCTAGATTTGAAAGAAATCTGGCAATTGCTTACTTTTTTTGATTAGTAGTAGCTTTTGGGAAGCACCATTCAAGGACAGAGGTGACAAACCAAATGCAGAGGAAAGATCAGCAACTGACAAAGAAAGTGGAAGCAAGAATTTTAAGTATTTGACTACAATCATAGTGGCTACCTCTAGAGCACATCACTGTTAATGTTGGCATTCATATCTGTGATTCTTAACGCAAGCAAATGTAATATAATCCCCCGCACTCTAAAGTGTGGAATGTATTTGTTTTTATTTGAATGTTTTCTATATCACACTTTATGAAAACGTCCAGTGTGGTATATACCTAATTTAATTAATCTGTCTAGGAATAAAGCTGTTGTTCCACTTGCCCGGTGTGTGGGTATTAGTGCACAGTTATAAATAAGTTTTATTATTCTGGAGCATGGAATTACTACCTGACAGAATAAAGTACTGATTTAATGCAGCCTTCTCAAGAAAAGTGGTGGTTCTGTCATTACTGCGATAGCCAATACACATCATAAAAGTGATCCATGGCAGCTTTGAATAAGGACCTGCACATCGTTCATTATTACATCACTTTATATTAGGACAACAGGGATCAATAAAGCAACAGGATTAAATGCTGCTATTTCCTCCCACAGCATCTTATGATGGATACTGCTTGCTTGTCTGTGTGCCTGAAGCATTGCTAGGATCCTTTGCTATGTCTCTGCAAAACTTTGAGAAGGCATTTAGTCTCAGTAAAACTCAATTTCCAACTTTTCTAGTTCCAACATACAAAGATGTAACCCCATAAGATAAGATGCTGTTCTGAATAGAACACCGTTCTCAATGCAGAATGAGCATATTCTGAGTCAGTACTGAGAAGCAAAATTGTTAAGCATTACAATTTGAGGAAAGAAAGCAGCGGTTAAGACAATGTGAAAAAGTCAGGTCTGTAGCCTAAACAAGAAATCTAGTTGTGGATTAAGATTTTACTTCAGAGTTGATCAATGGTAGATGATCTTTACATGAAAGCATGTGTCCCTTTGAGAAGTGCGCTGAGAGAAAGAGAGAGAGGGTGCTATGTATATTATACATAAGAAAAGTGAGACCAATGGAAAAGGCTCTAAGACTGGCTGAAGAGGCAGGACCTAGTATCTGGGCATCAGGTAATATTTAACATGAAGAACCAAGTGGCATCTTCACAAAGGCAACAGTTTCCAGAGGATGCAGAATGAGAATGGAACGTAGTTGAAAACTTCAGGTCAACTGATGTAGTAAACTGACCTTCTGCTTCTCTATATATTTTATTTTTATATGTTCATTATTTAGTTGTTTGTTTTAAATTCTATTCTTCTTTTCCATATAAAAATTCCAAGGTTGCTTACAATTATGGTCAAATAAAAATAATTGAAAGTTTCACTAAAACCAACCATATAAAATATGAACAAATAGAGCCATAGTAGAAAATGTGCTTTGGTTGGCCTGAGATACCTGTAAATTTCTTGCTTACCGTTTCATTTTAACTCTCATTCTACTGCAGTGAAATTATTCAACACTGACTAGGATATTGACCTTCATGATTTAAATAAAAACAACAGGTTTAGATATGAGTATTCTCAAAAACATTGAAAGACTAGACTCCCGTCTGCTCAGGCATTATCCCTGCCTCCAGTGTCCTGAGCCATTCCAGTCTGTTGTAACCTGACCCCAATGACTTCAACATGCTTACCATCAAGGCCTGAAGGAGGCTTCTACACATATTCAAGCAATTGTGCTCAGAAGTTTCTGGGCAATTGGGAATAATTGACCAGGGTCCCCACTCTCAGGGATGTTTCTAAGTACAGTCACTTGAATGAGCTAGAAGCTTTCTCCACACCTTCATGCTAAGTGGACATGACTCTAGTCCCTTTTCTCACTTTCAGCCCTCAGGTCTCAGGCTACCATCTAAACAGAGCTTAGCAGTCCATTTACACTGATGTACTATTGCCAGGCTGATTGAAGCTAACATTAATCAAGTTGCAGATTGTCCAAATCTGTCTCTCTTATCTCCTTTGACCAAACATCTGTTTAACACAGATCACAGCCACCTTGTAGGATGACATACAGTCAGGCACTCTAACTTATACTATCTCTTGCTCGTGATGTACGTAGCTCTCTCTCCAGCTTTCTCTGTCAGTCTTTCTTGCACATGGAATGAGCCATCTAGAAGTTAATAGCCCTGCATTAAGAATTAAATCACATATTGACATTAGGAGTTCAGAGGTACATCAAAATATAGTCTCCAAAATACATAACATATGCTAAACTAGGGAAATAATAGATGTTCCTCTTTTGTTCTGGTTTGGATGATATGCTCATTATTTTCCAGCTGCAGAGTAGCATCCAGCTGGGAGGTGTGAAATGTGGTTTATAAGCTGAAACACATTCACACCGGTCCAAAACATAGTGTCTAAGTTTTTGAGAGACTGCCCGGTCTTCCAGAGAGTTCTACTCCCCCTGGCCTGAGACCTTGAATGCCAAGTTTCAGCCTAGTGCACATTTTTTATGGTTGAGTAATAAACCTCAGAAAATAGGGTTTATAATAGAAATGCTGACACAACTTTAATACAACCAGCTTAACAACAGTAATAAAAAACAGGAAAATAGTGTACGTTTGTTGTACCTTAGCTTCCTCTACTCCACTTTCTGAAAACGACTTGCTATCTAAAGGTAGATGAATGGCATTCTTTTCATGATAAACACAATTCAAAGGCAGATGGATTAAGAAAAAAAGAAATAATAATCATAAGACTGGGAATAAATTGTTCCACGACAATCAGTATTGAAGAACTATGAAGTTCATTTACCTGTGTGCTTTCACCATTTGAGAGGACTGCATTAAATGAAGAAGGAACCATGTTTTAACATCCTTGTCTTTCAAGAGGTAGTCTCAGACTCATTTAGCAAGATTTCCCATGGTTCTTTCAAGTACTATACACAGTGATACAGCACTACACCACATTCTGCCAACAGTCCATTAAGAATTTATTCCACAAGCAACTCCTCTCGGTGCTTACACACGAGGGATTTAGTGCAGAATCATGACTACTCATTTTTACATGGCATCCAGACAATAGCATCACCCAGTCATTGTCATCCTGTATTTTCCTGTGGCTGTTCTGTCAGTTCTCATACTGCAGATAGTCTGGCTTCTTCATCAAAACAGAAGAGCTGGACAGGTATACAAGCCTTCAGTACTACTCATCTGGCTTTTTTTAAGGATGGAATTTTGAAGGGGCTGGTGGTGCATTGGAAAGTAAGCCTATCCCAGCTTAGCATCTGTTCACTGTAACTTTGGAGGTGGGTTCCATTTTTTTAATCAATGGTACAATTGTCACAAAAATGTGTTCTGGATAGCTTTTGCTTTTTAGTGACAGAGAAGTACAATGCAACTGTACCTAATCCTCTAAGTGGTGTCCGGAAATAGTGTGGAGGGTTTTCACCCAAGGAAAGAATGAAAAGCATCTTTCTAACATTATGGTAGGGGTGCATGACTGGTGGACTACATTTTGTGTGGTCCCCATGGCTGCCCTCCCCCATGAGATGCACACACACACACACACACACACACAAAATGTGGCCCAAGATCTTGCTGATCACAGTTCCTGCTTCCAAACTGTGAAGAGAAATGGGGAGGCTGCAATTCTAGCTGGGATTACTAAGGAAGGATGGTGGGTTTAGTTTCCACCCAAGTGACCCTGGAGGGAAGCCTCCCATATGTGTGATAGAGAGTGCATTAGCAAGCACACACGCACATCCATCCATACAGTCCCAATAAACACCAGAGGGATTCCTCAAAGAGAAAAAGGTTGCGCATTCCTGAATTATAGTGTTGTAGTATTCTGCGTCTTTTTCACCAAACAGCATCTACCTGGAAAAGTATTTTAGCAATATAAATAATTAAAAGATAGATTTTTAAAAAAACCCAGTATCATAGAATAGTACTTTCTGCAATGAATGCGTGTCATGAATGTGGACTCACCCATGGTCTCGCCCACAGCGGACCACTTGCATACAGAGAACATAGCTTGATGTGTACAGAGAGAAAGTACAATCATTCCTGTCAATATAGAACATGGGTCCTCAATCTACAGCCCGGGGGCCAGAACTGGTCCACCATACCCATTGGGACCCGCCACAGGCACGCATGCGACCACCACCTCACCCCACGCACAGGGAGGCAGCAGTTTGCTTGCTTGGAGAAAACGATCTCCAAGCGAGCAAGCCGCTGCCTCATGCACCCGCCTGTGCCTTGCTTTCCCTCGCTGCATGCGCACCTGACTGCCCACACATCACCTCCCCTCACCGCATGCGCCCGTCCGCTCCTCGCCGTGTGCCCTGCCCCCGCCTCAGTGCACGCACTCGTGTGCCCCGCCCCCGCCCCATCTTGCACGCACCACCGGCACCACCTTTCCAGCCCGTGCACCCCGCCGGCACCTTTCAACTGGCCCCCTGGTGAAGAAATTTGAGGACCCCGGTGTAGAAGGTCACTTTTGAATTTCCTCATTCCTGGTGGATGAGTTGTGACTGGGTAATATTGCTTGTCTGGAAGTAGTCTCTGAAATCAGCTGCAGACACTGTAGATATATCATTAACTTATCAAAACTCTGTATATACAGAAACAAAACCAGAGTATTTTTTATACTCACATTCTCTTTGTGATCTGAAAAAAGTCATAATATTGATCCTGATAAACTTAATTTTATCAGATTATGAGATATGATAACCTGTTGTTTGGGGTGGAATAGCACTTGTACCTTCACATCAGGAAAACATATTCTGGGTGTAACTGAGCTTCTCAATCAATGTTCTTGTTTTAGATGTGAATGCTTACCTGGGTACAGTGGAAAACATTGTGAAACTGATGATGATGACTGTTTGGGACACAAATGTCGCCATGGTGCATTGTGTGTAGATGCAGTTAATGGATACACCTGCATTTGTCCTCAAGGATTCAGGTAAGCGAAGTGACATAGTCTCCTCCAGGCAGTAGATAATTTCCAAAACTTGAGTGAGCTGCTTCAGCATATAAAACCACTTTGGTTCAGCAGCTCTTTTGACAACATTTAGTAGCTCATTGAACACTGAGAAGATGGAATATTGTTTTCAGCAATTTTGGGGCATTCTTTGGGCACTGCTGGAACAAACACAGTGAACAGAAAGAGAACAGTAAAAAGAAGAAGACAGTTTATTACTGGCAAGTCTTTCAACACTTAGTAGCAGAAGAAGCTAAAGTATGTCATGTCCACCTATTTAGATAGAGATATCCTTTGGTGGTATAGAGCAGTGGTGGCAAAACTATGGCTCACGTGCCACAGCGGGTACGCAGAGCCCTCTGTGTCGGCACACAAGCCCAGTCGCCCCAGAATCACCTGAACTGCCGAGCATCGGATAACAGCGCACATAGGAGACATGGGCATGCTCGGAAAGGAGTAGCGGCACCAGGGAATAACATCACAAGACGGGACTCATTAGCAGCAACTTGTCCAAGCTTTGGTATGGATGGTCAGTGCGAAGCCAAGGATATATATATATATATATACTTGCTTGGACAGCCTGTGAGTTGTTTTTTTCTAAAATACAACCTCAGTTTCTGTTGGCACTTTGCAATAATTAAGTGGGTTTTGGGTTGCAGTTTGGGCACTCGGTCTCTAAAAGTTTCACCATCACTGGGTTAGGCTTAGAAAAATGAGGTGTCCTAGTGTGATTTTGATGGTTGGAATGTGTTTAGAATGGGCAGAAAGTATGAACTATAAACAAAAAGCTACTCAAGGAAGGCATTTTCAAAATCGCCCTGTTTAGCATGGAATTTACCCTTAAATTAGGGTTAGGGGTGTGCACCAGGGTAGGGTGAGGGTTGGAAAGACGAGGTGTCCTGGCATGATTTTAATGGTTGGAATGTGTTTACCCTGGGCCGAAAGGATAACCTGTGCAGAAAAAGGTGCTCAACGAAGGCTTTTTCAAAATCGGCCTCTTCTCCATGGAACTATAACCCTATATTAGGACTAGGGGTGTGTACCAGGGTCGGGTTAGGGTTGGAAAAACGAAGTATCCTAGAATGATTATTATGGCTGGATGTGTATAGAATGGGCAGCAATGTTGAGCTGTGCAGGAAAAGGGACTCAACGAAGGCGTTTTCGAAATTGGCCTCTTTAGCATTGAACTTTACCCCTATATTAGGGTTAGGGGTGTGCACTAGGGTAGGGGTGCGAAAAAAGAGGTGTCCTGCCATAGTTTTGATGTTTGGAATTTTTTTTAGAATGGGCAGAAATGTTGAGCTGTGCAGAAAAGGCCACTCAAGGAAGTCTTTTTCAAAATCACCCTCTTTTCCATGGGTCTTTACCCTTATACTAGAGTTAGTGGTATGCACCAGGGTATGGTTAGGGTTGGAAAAACGAGTTGTCCTGGGATGTTTGTGATGGTTTCAACGTGTTTAACATGGGCAGAAATGATGAGCTGTGCTGGAAAAGGTACTCAAGGGACGCTATTTCAAAATCGCCCGCTTTTCCATGGAATTTTATTCCTGTAAGAGAGTTTGGAGTGTCCACCAGGGCAGGGTTAGGGTTGGAAAAATGAGGCGTCCTGGCATTGTTGTGATGGTTTGAATGTGTTTAACATGGGCAGAAAAAATGTTCAGAAAAACTACGCAGGGAATGCTTTTTCAAAATCTCCCACATTTCCATGCATTTTTCCCCTTATACTTGAGTTAGGGGTGTGCACCAGGGTTGGGTTGTGATTGGAAGGATGAGGTGTCCTGGCATGGTTTTGATGGTTGGACTGTGTTTAGAATGGGCAGAAATGATGAGCTGCGCAAAAAGAGCTATTCAGGGAAAGCGTTTTCATAATCTCCCTCATTTCATGGAACTTTACTGCTATATTAGGGTTATGGGTGTGCACCAGGGTAGCGTTAGGCTGGGAAAAACGAGGTGTCCTGGCATGTTTTTGATGGTTGAAATGTGTTTAGAATGGGCAGAAAAGTTGAGCTGTGCAGAAAGAGCTACTCAAGGAAGGCGTTTTCAAAATCGCCCTCTTTAGCATGGAAGTTTACCCCTATTTTTGAGTTAGGTGTGTGCACCAGGGTAGGTTTGGGGTTGAAAAGACGAGGTGTCCTGGCATGTTTGTTTTGGGTGGACTGTGTTCAGAATGGGAAGAAATGTTGTGCTATGCAGGAAAACTACCCAAGGAAGGCGTTTTCAAAATCATCCTGTTTAGCATACAACTTTACCCCTATATTATGGAATGCGCTCCCCAGAGAGGCCCGCCTGGCGCCATCATTTTTGTTTTTCGGCGCCAGGCTAAGACCTTTTTATTTAAAACTTATTTTAATTGTTAAATTATTTGAATTAATAGAATTTTAAATTTTTAGCCGAGAAAGCACCGGAGGTTTTTAAACAATTATTTTTTAATTGTTATACTGTTATTATTTATGTATTTATGTATCCTTTGTGAGCCGCTCCAAGGCTTTGTTGCGATGGGGGTGGCATAGAAATGTTTTAAATAAATAAATAAATATTAGGGCTGGGGTGTGCACCAAGGTAGGGTTAGGGTTGGAAAAATGAGGTGTCCTGGCATCATTTTGATGGTTGGAATGTGTTTAGAATGGGCAGAAAGTATGAACTGTAAACAAAAACCTACTCAAGGAAGGCTTTTTCTAAATCGTCCCCTTTTGCATGGAATTTACCCTTATATTAGGGTTAGGGATGTGCACCAGGGTAGGTTTGGGGTTGGAAAAACGAGGCATGTTTGTTATGGGTGGAATGTGCTCAGAATGGGAAGAAATGTTGAGCTGTGCAGAAATTGCTAAACAAGGAAGGCATTTTCAAAAGCATCCTGTTTAGCATAGAACTTTACCCCTATATTAGGGTTAAGGGTGTGCACCAGGGTTGGGTTAGGGTTTGATAGACAAAGTGTTCTGGAATCATTTTTATGGTTGGAATGTGTTTAGAATGGGCAGAAAGTATGAGCTGTAAACAAAAAGCTACTCAAGGTGGTGCCAACCCTAACCCTACCATGGAATTTACCCTTATATTAGAAACTACTCCTGGAAGGCTCTTTCAATATCTCCCTGTTTTCCATGGAACTTCACCCCTATATTATTATTAGTGGTGTGCACCAGGGTAGGGTAAGTGTTGGAAAATGTGTCTTGGCATGGGTTTTGATGGTTGGAATGTGTTTAGAATGAGCAGAAATGTTGGGCTGTGCAGATAAAGCTTCTCAAGGAACTATTTTTCTAAATCGCCCACTTTTCAGTGGAACTTTACTGCTATAATAGGGTTAGGGGATTACACCAGGTTAGGGTTAGGCCAATGGTTGCCAATCTGTTGTATGGGTTCCAAAGTTTGCAAGTGGAGCCCTCTCTGTTGGCATGCAATCCAAGTCATCCCAGCATCACTCCAGCAGCCGAGCACTGTATAACAGCACACACAGGGTCCCTTCACTTGCTCGGAAAGAGTAACGGCGCCAGCCAGTGGTGTCACGAGCCGCAACTCCTTAGCAGGAACTTGTCCGAGCTTTCACATGGCCAGTCAGTGTACTTCTAGTGACATATATATAAATGCTTGGACTGACTGTGAGGTGTTTTTTCTAAACGAAAACCTCAGTTTTCAGGTTTTATTGTAGTGTTGGTACTTTGCAATAAATAAGTGGGTTTTGGGTTGCAGATTGGGCACTCAGTCTCTAAAAGGTTCTCCATCGCTGGTATAGAGAATGGGATTTACCAGAAAAGGGTTTTCACTGTAACCAAGAAACCCAAAATGGAAGGACATATTTAATACTTTGGGCAAACAGTACTGTTACTTTACACCATACAGTCAATGTTTTGCTAAAACCTTTAAATAGGGATTATTAGAAAACCCACAAACATGGGCACATAAAGGAGATGATGCTTTTCTATGATGTTGGTGTTCAATTATATCTCCAGTTTTCTTGTATTGGTGTTGGGATAATCCTTATGGAACATACAGGTGCATTCTAAATCAGGGCAAAGTGCCAGTTGTCTGTTAGTTTTAACACTTTTAACATTCTCTGCAGTAAGTAACTATAGTTGCATGTAACTGAAATATTTATATGCTGTTCACTGTTTTCTCTTGAGCTTTGATTTCCTTTTCTCTGTTGTCTCCATTTTGCCCCCCCCCCCCTCCCTCCCTCCTTCCTTCCTTCCTTCCTTCCTTCCTTTCTTTCCATTGCAGTACTGGGGTTGGGATTTGTCTTCTCATTCTTCCTAAAGTGCCATGTAAACAAATTATAAAAACATTATTTGGAAGTGTTGTGTTTAGGTGAGGACAGATAAAATATTTTAAGTCTTGTGGAAGTTGAACATGCATTCTTTGTCCTGCAAACACATGAAAATACATGCAGACATACCTAAATAAAGTCAATTGAATTTGTTGAGGTTTATTTCTTAGCAAACTTGTATGGGATTCTGCTGCAAGTATTGTTTTACTACAATGTCATACCTGTGTTTCATATTAATTCTATATATTTGGTCCAAACCAAGCTATGCTTTTCCCTTTTGACAGTAACACTTCCTCTCTATTTTCTATTGGACAACTTTAGATTTTTATTCTGATTATTAGAAGACCTTAGTTATTTGCTAGAAAAGCAGGATAAACATTCTGAAAATATTTCACCCAGCCAAACTGGGTGTATGTGTGTTGTTATAATCTATACAATATAAATCTATGTATATGCATGATGCTTCGGCTCCATGAAAGCTTTTTTCCTTAAAGCAGTTGTTTGTTGGTAGAATGTTTATTTCAAGCATAGTATATACCAGTAATAAAAATAAGTTGCCACTCACAAATAGATGCCTTTAGTATCATGAGAGATATAGGAATGTAGATGTCCATTAATCTTTTTTTGTGCAAATAGCATAAAGCTAAGAGTAGCTATAAGGAGAGAACAGAACAAGCAGGGTGGGTTTAGTTGCCTATTTTATGTCTTGTAAGCACTGAGATTT